TATATATATATATATATATATATATATATATATTTCTGCAGTGGTGACAGACTTGATCCAAAGAGCATAATAAATTATAATATACAGAATTAAAAGAGCATGATTATAACATGATTAATTTAATCAAATGTGAATGACTACATTAACAAAGTTGGCTCGAAGAGAAAGGATGACTGAGCTTGTAGATTTAACTTAGTCCAATAAGCATGATCAAGATATAAGTCGGTAGTAAAAGGAACATGACCAATTAAAATAAACAGTCCTAAAAGAGCTAAATAATCTATGAGAGTTTCGGTCAAAAGATTACGAGTGAAGAGCTGTAATCTACATAAAGGATAGAACAAATCAAAGTGGTGTGACTAAGTAAGAAAATAAATGTAAGTTAAAAAACTGGTCAAGATCATAATCATTATGAAGTGTGCATGCAAATGATGTAAAAAAACCATACCAAATTGATCCTTAGAAATGTAACGAATATATTGTAACATTAAATGTCACTTTGTTTTCAAAGAAGCGAATGGAGAGTATTCTAAAATATTGTCTTGGCTATCCTAGGAAATATTAACAAACCCACCAATGATAGTTGGCTGGCCAAAATGCTTATAATATGTAGTGTAGGGTCAGACTTATATCAAACATACCCAAATACAAGTAGTCAAGTTAAATTAACTAAAAGTCCTAAAGTGAAATATAATTATCACATGATCTTAGAATGATGTTTAATGTAACTTATAGAGTAGAAACTCAAAGTGTAAGAAACACACTAGATGCTAAATATTTGACCATGTCAGATTCACAAAAATTATGAATAAGTCAAGTTCTTAAATTAAAATAATAAATAGGATAATTTTTACATAAGCATTATATGATTAAATTTTGATTATTTAAATTTATCAAAATGACCTGAGATCTTTTGCTAGAAGTTTTTAAATTATTAGGTAATAGAACTTTTCAAAATGATTAGGAAATTCACACCCGCCGACCATCGTTGACCATTGCTAACTGTCATCGACCACTGCTAACCGTCGTCGACACCCATCGACCAACTCCTACCGCCTTTGACCACCGCCGACCATCGTCGACGCCCGTCGACCACGATCAACCACCATTGATCGCCGTTGACAACCACCGACCACTGCCGAGCACCTCTGTCGACGATGGTCGGTGGTGGATGACAGCTAGCAGCAATGATTTGAGGTGGTTGCTTGCAGTTGAAAGTCGTCGATGATGGTCGGCGGTGGTCGATGGAGGCTGACGGTGATCGACAGTGACATGGGTGATGTTGGATTTCAGTTCCTTCTTAAAGCTTTAAGTTCTCTCTCAAGCCTCAAGCTCCCTCCTTCTCATGAAAGGATGAAGCTCTATTTAAAGTGTTTTAAGTGCAATTCATGCATGAATATGAACCACTTTGATTAGAGAGTTCGAAGAGCTTTATTCGATAAGATGGTGTTTGATAGACATTTGAGTACCTTAACGATGTCAAAATTAAACAATCTTTGGCTCGTTGGATTCGTCCTGTCCAGATGCTCGATTCGACTGTAGACTTGCTAGATTCGACATTCATTTGACCTTCAAATAAGTCCGAAAAACTTTCAAAAGTTGTTTAATGACTTCATATAAGCTTGATTTGACTCCGATTGGACTAATTTTGATATCATTGGGTCCTTCTTATCGAGCCGATGAGTTTGACTATAAGTTTGCTGAAATTGGAGCTATAGATACTTTCTATCAATATTTGAACATTTCTTCCTCAAAAGATTATCTCGAGAATCATGACATACCTCGAGATTCATGCACGATAATGAGAATTTGTTGATGGCATTTCACCCAGCAACATGAAGATAAATGATAGGATCAAACTCTTAAAAAATCATTAAAATTTAATTTCCTCACTTTCTTAATGGGATTTTAATAACTTAGTAAAAAAAATTTTGCCCTTCACAGCCATTTCAGTCGGCCCAACCAAATCCTAATTTTTTTTAAGAGCATTATTGCTAGGAATAGGGGAAAATATATCAAAATTTAAATAATATTACATATATTACTATGACCATTTAATTAACCGGATTAAAATTCATTCTGGTGAAAATTTTTTTATTCTCTTCAGGTAACCACCCATTAAAATTCTGGGAAATTTACATACATACCACATAACTTTTGTATTTTAATTTCCAGCGATACCTAAACTTTCTTATTTACATTTATACAATTATTTATAAATTTTCATTTCTTGATATTTTCAGACCTTCAGAATCTATCTTCGAATCTATTTCCACATCGCCAGTGGACAAGATTGTGTCACAAGACTTGAAACTGGATCTCTGGCTTGCTCATATAAAACGCTGAAAACAAACGCAAGAACATATGCAACTTTACGCCAAGCGCTTAATCTTCCTTCATCCGGTAATTAGATTAAACACATCATTTACATTTTTACAAAGCACCCTTTTTCTTCTCCCAATCAACCGCTACCAAGCCTCAGCCATCCGATCAATGATGTGATGCTATTGCCGCCGTACCGTCACCACACCACTAGCTGGCCTTACGGCCTAACCTAAGCCGCCGCCTAAGGACCACCACAACTGCCCTCGATGCCCCGACAATCTACATATAGATCAGCATTTAGATACATTCCACGCAATTTATATATATTTCCATAACTAATACTTAAATTTTAATATTTATATATACACCTCGCTTAAATTTTAAAAGTAACGCTATAAATAAGTTCTCGAAATACACATTTTCAATATAAAACTTTTTATATGATATGAAATATATGACACATGAAGTAGTGTTTCTAGGGTGTAAAAGAGCCGAACACAAGCAAGCCTAGGCTTAGCTCTTATTCGGCTCGTTTATATTTAGAGCTCAAAAAATGTGTTCGTATTCGGCTCATTTGCTTGGGGAGCAGAACAGGAGCTATTTACGAACAAAGTATCGTTTTGACAACCCTAATCGTGTAGCTATAAAGATGTTAAGGGTTGTGGCAAGATTTAAAAATTATTGTTTCTAATAAAACATCATTTGAATCTAATTTAATAATTTTTATTCTACTTTCTTAATTAATACTTTTAATTGATTATAAATCTTTATAGCTTTGTAGTCAACTAAATTTTTTTAAAAGCATACTACATATCTATGATATATATATATATATATATATATAATTGATAAGTCGAGTCAAAATGAGCCGAACATTAACCAACAAATCTTTGTTCGAGTTCAGCTCGTTAACTTAGCAAATAACTCAAGCACAAGCTTCTTAACGAGCCGAACACGAATTATTTGCAAAAAACGAACCGTTTTGACACCCCCTAAGTGTTTCACTAGCATGAATTTATATTGAGGAAGAAATTTTTAAACATGTCTCATGATCTATTAAATCCAAAGTTATGTCCTGAAAAAGACAGAACGCTTGAAAAAAAAAGTAATGCAAATAATTTCGATTTTAAGATTGGTTGGATTTAATTTTCATTTTTTTTATGTTTAGTTAAATTTATGTTAAATACATGACTACATACTCCTTAAATTATGCTACCAAACACCCTTTAATAAAATAATTTTATATTCTTAATATTTTTCGATTAATTAAATCATGAATTTCACACTAAATATTAAACATATCATATAATTACTAAACTTATCAAAATATTTGAATATGTATCAAAATTTTTAAAAGGTTTAACGCAATTATCAAGCTAATTATGAATAAAATAAAAAATAAAAAAGTAAAACAAAAAAATAAAAAAATACAACCGTAGCGCACGTTAGTAACCACCGTCAGTCACTGCGTTAAGCCCACGCGAGCGCCACCGCATGGAAAAGATAGGGAAAATTCAAATAAATTTAGTACAGTATTTCAAAAAATAATTAGACATTTAGCCCGTCAACGCCGCATTGCTTGTAAGTGAGCGACTGCTTTCTAGGGCTTATTACAATCACGCAGTCCACAGACACCTGCAATAATAACAATCATACTATCAAAACATTTTGTATAATGCTCGCACGATATAATATTAAATTTAATTTTATGATATAATATTAAAATTAATTTTTTTAATAATATCAAATTATCTTATGTATCGTGTTTCTTGTCCGGACAACGTTGATACAGTGGAGAAGAGAGGGAGCGGGAGCTCAATCCACTGCTATATCACGTCCGTTGTTGTTGTTGAGACGCAAGTGGGGCGGACCAAATATTTTTTCCAGACATTTTTAAAAGAGCTTCGCAGTCAAAAGGAGCCCAACACACCTTAAATTAAGCACACAAAAAAATTAAGAAAAAGAAAGTATAGGAGCAAGCGGGGTCTGGCCTGAACCCTAGGCGAAGTGAACCCGAGCACTCGGATCTTAGCCCCAACATCGCCGGTGATCCGGAGCTCTACACGGTCATTAACGGTGGCATCGCGGACAAGCTCCAGAGCATCGGCCTGAAGCACATTGAACCGGCTCACACTCACCCTCGAATCCACCAATCGCGTACTGTGCGCCGGCTGCTCGAATCCCGGCACCGCCGCGATCCCAAGCGGCACGCCGTGGTACAAAACGTACAGATCCGCCGCCTCGTACTTGATCCCCACCTTATTAGGGTTCGCTGCGGTGAACAACAGCGTTATGTTAAGCGAGAGGTACGCCGCCGCCGTTTGGCCGGCGTCGACACCCTGCTCCGGTGCTACGAGGAGGTATTCGACACCCACGCGCTGTAGATCGAACTCGGGTTTTCTCGGACGAACGGCGAGGATGATGACGAGGGTGACGGCGATGGAGAGGAGGGTTAGGAAGATGAGGAGAAGAAAGAGGCAGCAACAGCAGCCCTTGAGGGATGCGGTCGAGTAGGAGGTGGCGGCGGCCATGTAGTGGTTATGTTGTGGCGGTAGTGGAGCGAGCGGCCGGTGGTTGAGTTCGCCGGCGGCGGAGCGATTCGTCATTGAGGTTTGTCTGGGGGGGATGGGATTTGGGGATGGAGGGTGGGGGGTGAGGGAAAGTGGTGGTGGGGGATAAACGTACGCTGATTTTCTTATTGTGTGCGCCGCAGAAGGGAGATTTTGGATGGGTGCAGCGTGCAAGTGCGATGTGGGAGGGGGTGACGCACGAGGACAGACAGCGGGTGATTTTCTTTTTCTTGGTGTTGGTAAATTTGTAACGAATGTTGGGGCGGGGGGGGTTTTACAGTTTTACGTTACAAATAACGCTTATTCAATTATGAAAATACAAAAAACCGTTTTCTTGAAGAAATATGGAGAGCCGACTATATATTTCTTATTTAAAATTTAGGGAAATTACATACATGCTATAAAATTCTTATGTTTTTATATGTTTAATAATCAAATTTACCTTGATGTTATAAATATGCATAAGAAACTCTATCTCACTTAAAATAATAATGATAATAATAATAATAATAATAATAAATGTGATATTTTTATGTGATATTAAATATTTGAATGCTATGCATGTAAAAATGAATGTGGGTCTTAGATATGAAAATAGATAATGATGTGTGCTTGAAGATTTGGTGTGGTAGAGTTTTGACTTATTGTCTCAATGTTGCATGAGAATATATTATACACTCAAATGATAAATATCAGAAGTTTTTACGTGAAACATTCGGAAAGAGAAAAACTTACAAGTTCATCCCAGTCAAAATAATTCACTGTGAATATGTGAGTATATGTACTGTTCTTTATCCCACATGCAGCAATGCAATGCACAGTTCCTTGATACACAATATTTGTTGTACAACGATCAGAAATGATTGCAGTTGAGAGTAGTAGCTGTTAGAATTTTAGTACACCGTCTTTGAGGTGTGTTGTTGAATAGTGTTAAGGGCAATGCGTTACACCGTTGGGGGCTTTGTTATTCTGGAACATACATCAAGATCCCATAGTGCACTTTGTGTATTTACAAGGGGTTTCGTTGCAATGAGGAGGGGACGATCGACATTGGTTTACGTTAGTCAGCAGATGCAGGAACATGCGACGTTCATTAGACCTTTGATGTAGAACATTAGATCGTTGCTCCTTCCAGCTCTCGTCATCTTCTAGTTCTGGGTCCCCCATTATTGGAGGTAGGACTATATTTATAGTCTAGGAGATGCTTCTTTGCAAATAAGAATGAAATCTAAACCACTCCATCGGATGGCAAGGAGTGTTACTATGGAGACCGATCGCTCCCGCCTCCCGATCACGATGATTCGCGAATCCTGCTCCCGCTCCTGTTTTGCGAATCGGCGCCAGAGTCTGTCGCGAAGCAAAGCTTCGCTTTTTCCCGCTCACCTGTTCCCGCTCCACTGTCGCGAAAGGTCACGATATTCACGAAACGTTGTCAATCTCCATTCTTGTTCGCGATAAAAGGCATCGCAGTGAGTCTCCTTCGGTTTTAGAGAGAAGTCACAGTGTTCTTCTTCGGTTTTCCTCGAGATTGAGGAAGGAAGGTGCAAGAAGTAATTCCTTACGGTGAAGGAAGAAGGAAGAAGGAAGAAGAAAGAAGAAGAAGAAGATTGTTCTCCCTTGGCTTCTTCTTGGTGGCTTGTGGCTGAAGAGAAATTGAGTTTATTTCTCTTGTAAGTTTGACTTCTTCGGTGTATCTCGGTGTAGAGTTTCTTCAATGTATTTTCTTCGGTTTTCTTCGGTGTATCTCGATGTAGAGAGAGAAGAACAGAGAACAAAGAAGTGAGAGTGAGAGATTCTTCTTGTAAGTCGAGGTGATCGACTGGTGTAAATTCCTCAAGTATTAAATCATCTGCAACTCCGTGGACGTAGGCAATTTATCGAACCATGTAATTCTGTGTGTTCCGCTGTGGTGTTACTATATTTTGTGTGAATTTTCTCGTTCTATTTTTCACTTCATCGATCGTTCTCCTGTTTAATTTATATATATAGCACAACAACTGGTCGTGTATATCTATATCCTGCAACAAGGAGAAATTTCATTCATCAAGCAATGTTTTTTGGATATTTGAGCATCTTAATGATGTCAAAATTAAGTGATTTTGGGTTCATCAAATTCAGCTCATCGAAACACTCATCTTGACTATAATATTGTCAGGCTTGGAATCAATTTGACTATTCAATTGTGCACCAAAAGTTCCAAAATATTTTACCAGCTCGATATAAGTCGGATTTGACTCGGATAGTTGTCCCGCAGACCGGAAAGGGTAACTATATTTTTCAAATTACAATGTCTAGTGTGTAGTGATTGACAATAATTGATGGTGATCGATGGTCGATGACGGTTGGCAGGGCCAACGGATGTTGACGATGGTCCACGAAAGTCGGGGATGGTCTACGATGGTCGACGGTGGTCGACCAAAGTCGGCGGTGGTCGACGGTAGTTGACGGTAGTTGTAGGCAGTTGGCGATGGTCTACTGTTGTTGGCAGTGTTCTACGACGATTGACAGTTGTCAATAGAGGTCGGCGATGGTTGACGTAGGTCGGCGGTGGTTGACGGAGGTCGGTGGTGATGTTGAGCTGCAAGTCCTCCTCAAGGCCTCAGGCTCTCTCTCTAGGCTTAAGCTCTCCCTCATGAGAGGAGTGAGACTCTATTTATAGTGTTCTCGATGCAATTAATGCAGAAATATAAATCATTTTGATCGAAAGGTTCAGATAGCTTCCTTCAATCAGATGGTGTTTAATAGACATTTGGATGCCTTAATGATTTCATAATTGAGTAATCTTAGGCTTCTTAGATTCGTCTTGTCGATACGCTCAATTCGACTATGAATTTTCCAGATTCAGCATCCGTATGATCTTCCAAATGTGTTCGAAAATCTTCCAAAGTTGTTAAATGACATGATCTGGGCTTGATTTGACTTGGATTGGACTACCTTTGATGTCATTAGGTTTCTCTCATCGAGCCGGTCAGTTTGACTATAAATTTGCTCAAATTAGAATTCTATATGACTTTTTATCAAGATTTGAACTTCATTTGCTCAAAATAGTCTCGAGATCGGTGTCACGCTTCAAGATTCGTGTCGGATAATGAAAATTTGTTGATGACGTATCACTTATCTGTTGGCCATAAAAAAACTCCTAAATTCTTGTTGTGGTGAAAGAGTAAGAATAATACTCTTAAACAATTTTACTTAGTCTTATTTTCAAAATGGTTGCAAACACGTATACCATATCAACAATGAGATTTTGTAAATTATAATGGTCATAACCTCTAATAACATGCTAACCAAATAATAAGATTCTCGAAGCAAAACAAATCATTGAACTAGTACATATTGTGTTGTTAACTTGTATTGTGTGATAAAATTTTGAGAAATTTACATACATACCACAAATTATTATGCATTTACATATCTAACATTAAAATTTTATTATTTATATTTATAATACCTTCGTATTAAAAAAGCCCTTCAAATTCCATTTACAATTTCAAGGAATCATAATATATTCCATTGCCTCCTTCGGCTTCTCTTTCCGGTTTTATAAACTTCAACTTTTATTGAATCTCAACTATATGTAATTAAAAAGAAATCACATTATCAGCGAATTTTGGGTCATAATATATATATTTGATGTTAATGGTAACATACACTTGATGCTCCACCCTGCCACCATCCGGCCGAGGAAAATTTGATCGGTCTCCTGCAGCGAGAGACTCTAAGGGCGTACAACGAGTGCCCAACAACAGCATATCGACCGATCTATGAAAAAAGAGATCGCCGAGCGACCGAGCTCCTCGACCAACTGACACGTACGTGGGAGGGCAGAATCGCTACTCGACCGATCGTCTTAATCGACCGATGTCATGCCAATAGGCGTGCCGATCACCGCCATAATTGAAATTCAAATGAAATTCATATAAATAATTAGTGTTTTAATCACATTAAGAACGGTTTCAATAACAGTTCCCACCTTTCCATAATTCTACAAAATACATCCCTATGAATAGAAAGCAAAAAATATGAATGAGAGCACATCTCCCTTGACACTTGTACCAATTAATTTCGGGTTTACTCTACTCTATCTCCTCCTTTACGTAATCTGGCTCTAACTCTTGAGGCGTGATTCACAAAGAGTAAATTAGGATCCAAAGATATATATATATATATATATATATATGATTTTACATGTCTAACACCCAAATATATATTTACTCATATAAGCTTTTTAAGTTTATATAACATTAAAAGCACAAGAATAGATTGTTTAGTGAAAAAAAGAATGAATTCTTAGTTCTTTTTTTTTTTTATATAACTACAGGAAGGCAAGTGATTAGTGGGCTTTAATTTGTTTAAAGCATGAAATAAAATAATTGGGCTACGAGAGCAGAACGGATCTAACTAGGCCGAGATCTCGAGGTCCATCAAAATCCATTTTGCTTTCTCAGCCAAAGCCTCTTTGCAGCTGACATTTCGAATCAGACCCAATGGAAAATTTCTTTTAGTCTGATTTGATTTGCCTTAGAGTGAGAGAATACGACATTCACAATTTAGAAAAAAAAAGGGATTGTAGCTTCATTAAAAATTGTTTCAAATATCTCAATGGGATTTCTCGGAAATTTTCTTTTCATTTGAATTTCATTTTTTTTTAATTTAAACTTTATGTGCATGGTGCATGAGACTCTGAAAATTATTTTATTACTTTTTAATGTCTTGAAAATGATTCGGAATATTTATATACATACCACTCAATTAATATGTATTTATATATGTTACACATCAACTTCAATTTATGCATACATGCCACTTTATAAAAGAGGTATCTCACCTTTTAAAAGTTAAAATGATGGTACTTTCAATGTGATTGAATAATGTGAATGGTACAAGTGTAGAAGGTAAAGTATTGGTATTAGATATGACAATACTTAGGAAATGGGTGGTATATATGCAAATGCCTATAAAGATTCTTCTGCCCACTTATATCTGCCTTCAGAATTCTCTCAATTTATATTTGTTATATTCTACTTGTTATTATATCAATATTAGTTGCCAAGCAGAAGCTAATGTCCAAACATAGTATATCCTTAGACATTTAGGCCCATTGATGAATTCATCATTTAATGTTATTGCAAAAATATGTCAAAAAAAGATGATTCTATGTGACATAATAATTTAACAATAGATGTACATCAAAATTAGGCAGGTTCAACTTGAAGAATCACTTGTTTTGTACGCAATCCCATAGTGTCCTCCAACATGAGCATGTCTTGA